TATATATATATATATATATAAACCAAAATAAATCAGAAGTTTGGTTAAAACCACTATTAATGATGCACTGATATTCAGGGTACCTGCGATGTGTCAAGAAGCTGCCGTTAGCATGACCAGAACCGTCACAGCCTGGTGTTGGGCAAGATGGGCCCTCGGTCTTGAAGGCCTTCCAAGAGAAGGGTGTGCCATTTAGAAGACCTTCCTTCTGCCGGCGTGCTGCTAGTGGACATCCATAAGCACTGCGATGAGTGGCGTACTTCCCACTGATGTGGCCCAGGCTATCACAGCCAGGAACAGGACATCTGTAGCCAGGCAGAAAACACTGTCAGGCTAGTTTGGCTTAGGCTAACACAAGACATTTTCAATTTGGTACATGAATTTAGACAATGGCCTCTGAATGGGTTAAAGTAGACAAATGTGTCATTTATCCCATTTGTCCAATCATTGAAATCCTTTCCATTTTTCTACAGGAAAGAATAAAGGCATAGTTTTAAAATAAGTAAGATATTATCCTCTTCACAGGGTCAGTGTGCTGTCCTGTGACAGCCCTGAAGGTGGTGTAAGAACTAAAACTCCATCATTCATCTGAATCATCATAATTCATCTTCTGATACTTAATATCTTGGAAATTAGATTTTTAATCTCAATGAGATTTTTTACCTGGATAAATAAAGGATTAATAATAAAAAAACAATATCTATAATACATTTCTTTTGAGCCAAAGTAAACCAAATTATAATCTAACACACACATGGTGCTAATGAGCTATTGTTGCAAACCTGAGCAGCTCAGAATCTTCTTTGTCATCCTTGGTAGGGGTTGATTTGACTCCACTTTTCTTGGCTCGGGGGCATCCAGACAAACTGGCACAGAGGAAGAAAGTGGACCACACAGAAAAGACAAAGCTTTGCTTAAACACAGGCTAAATAAAATTCTTTAAAAGAATAACCTCAAAAAGTAAAAAAGTCATTTGAATATTTTGAAACATGTAAGCTAATATGGGTGAAGCTGATTCTATTTAATGCGCATTTTAACAGTTTACAAGGACTCAGTACATTTACAGTGAGTTTATGTGAACATTATATTCTGTTAGCTTAATGTTTGTCACTCAATGTCAGCTTCTGTCTTAGTGAGACTGGTGGACTGTGTAAGCAGTAGGGACCAAGAAAATAAGTCTACACACAGACTTTTTTTTATTATTGCCAAAGTGTGACATAAACACACTGAGTAACTGATGTAGTCTGTAACGAATATGTGATTGGGGAGGCAAACTCTCACCTGCGATGTGAAGCATAGTTTCCAGTGATGTGGCCTGATCCGTCACAACCTGGAGTTGGACACCTGAGACAAACACACACACGCACGCACACGCACACGCACACACGTGCACTTATTCAATTTGCAAATTTAAATTATTAGCACATTGCTGGCAAAAATGATTTTTTTCCACCAGATTACTTAGAATCAATTTTTTTTGTTTCCAATTTTTGATATATTGTATTATATCAAAAATATTTGTATTTTATATTAGTTTAAAAAGGAGAGCAAGGACAGAGCTGTAGCTGTGGAGGTGAGAGACGGGAGAAAGCACACATACTTTAGTTCTGCTGTGTGGGCAGCCATGAGGGTCCGAAGTGATTTATCAGCAAGAGGACAGCCTGACAGACTGAAAGATAGGTTAGAGAGAGAATGTCAGAACACCAGACAGATCAGAATGTCTGAGTATGAGTGAAGGAAAGAGCCAGAACCTGAACTAGACTGCAGAGCCAGGACAGAATTGAGCAGGATACACAGCAAGGACAGAAATGGTATTATTTTAAATTCAAGTAGTGTCATTGTTAGCTTCCCCTAAATATGTTCTTTGGCATAACCAGAGTCATCTACTCTGAATGGTGTAAGTTGTAAATGTAACAGTCTACTGTTTGCTGAAACATCGAAAGGTCTCGTTTGTTCAAATGAAGAGAGAATGAAGGGAAATCCTCAAATGTTTCACTGCGTATCCTCTACATATAGTAACCATGTATTAGTTTTCAAAGAAGCTTGCAAAGAAAAGCGTCTGGACTTCTTTAAGTTGCTTGAAGACGTTTCACCTCTCATCCGAGAACTCAAAACTGGATTATAGATGGCAGACAGTTGGTGTCGTAAACCACCGCCTCTGTTCAAAGATGGTCGCTCACAGTGGAACTTAGAACTGAAGAAGCTTCTCGGATGAGAGGTGAAACGTCTTCAAGCAACTTAAAGAAGTCCAGACGGTTTTCTTTGCAAGCTCCTTTGACTACGATGACCCGGATGACTGAGAACCTACACAGACATGTATTAGTTTGTTTTCAAAGGAGCTTGCAAAGAAAAGCGTCTGGACTTCTTTAAGTTATTTGAAGACGTTTCACCTCTCATCCGAGAAGCTTCTTCAGTTCTAAGCTCAAATGGTGGAGAGTCCCAGATATAAACCTAGTGGGAGTATCCCCCCACAGAGGGACAAAAGGACCCCCTGATGATCCTCTAATCGCCTGAGACAAGGTGTGAAACTGGGTGTGGGTCCCAATCAGCCAGAGTTTCGGGTGAGTTCATTGTGAAACCTGGCCCCACCTTATCATGCGAATTCCTGAGATCAGATGGCCCAGGATGTGAGTGGGCATTAAGGCGTCTGGGAAGGGATCTCAAAACTGGATTATAGATGGCAGAGAGTTGGTGTCATAAACCACCGCCTCTGTTCAAAGATGGTCGCTCACAGTGGACATAGATGGCTTCTTTCACTCCTCTTTCAAAACCATCTGTCCTCTCTGTCCAAAATGTGAACATTGGCATCCTCGAAAGAGTGTCCTTTATCCTTAAGATGCAGATGGACTGCTGAGTCTTGTCCTGTGGAGGTGGCTCTTCTGTGTTGTGCCATGCGCTTGTGAAGTGGCTGTTTGGTCTCTCCAATGTAGAGGTCTGAGCATTCCTCGCTGCACTGTACAGCATACACCACATTGTTAAGTCTGTGTTTTGGCGTTTTGTCTTTCGGGTGAACCAGTTTTTGTCTGAGCGTGTTGCTGGGTCTGAAATACACTGGGATGTCGTGCTTGGAGAAAACTCTCCTGAGTTTTTCTGATACACCGGCTACATAGGGGATGACAATGTTGTTGCGTCTGTCCTTCTTATCCTCCCTTGCTGGTGTCTGATCTTATTTTCTGTGCCTCTTTGCTGACTTTAAGAACGCCCATTTAGGATAGCCGCACCTTTTGAGTGCTTCCTTTACATGTGTGTGTTCCTTCTTTTTTCCTTCAGGCTTAGAGGGAACATGTTCTGCCCGGTGGTGTAGGGTCCTAATTACTCCAAGTTTGTGTTCCAGAGGGTGATGGGAGTCGAACAGGAGGTACTGGTCCGTGTGTGTGGGCTTCCGGTAAACTTCGATGTTGAGGTTGCCGTTCTCTTCAATGTGCACAGCGCAGTCCAGGAAAGGCAAACAGTTGTCCTTTGTGTCTTCCCTGGTGAACTTGATGTTTTTATCCACAGAGTTAATGTGCGCAGTGAAGGATTCCACTTCTTGTGTCTTGATTTTGACCCAGGTTTCACAATGAACTCACCCGAAACTCTGGCTGATTGGGACCCACACCCAGTTTCACACCTTGTCTCAGGTGATTAGAGGATCATCAGGGGGTCCTTTTGTCCCTCTGTGGGGGGATACTCCTACTAGGTTTATATCTGGGACTCTCCACCATTTGACCTTAGAACTGAAGAAGCTTCTCGGATGAGAGGTGAAACGTCTTCAAGTAACTTAAAGAAGTCCAGACGCTTTTCTTTGCAAGCTCCTTTGACTACGATGACCTGGATGACTGAGAACCTTCACAGACATATTAGTTTGTTTCATTACGTGAGGTCAGGTGTGAGAGGTCCCAGTTGTCTGTGCTAATGTGCTGGACAAATACTGAAGCAATGAAGATACAAATTTTACACGAGTCATTTCATTACAACTGAAGAAACTTTTTCAATGCTACCCCTGCCCCCCGAGACCCCACCCACAAAATGGGAATCTATGTAAAACCTAAATAAATAACAATAAAATTCCAAAGCTATAAACAATTTGAAAAAATGTCTTTAGCTGAGAGCTGTTAGAAAAACTAGTTTTAGTTATTTGCAAAATAAGGAGATAAGAAATAGAAATCTCTTAAAAGTTACACTTAGTGACACTTTTCATTTCACAATTCAAACATTTTCAGTGTGGTGCTAGATTGCAGCCAAGTATGTGGTTTAGTATTGTCTTGCTGACATAAACAAGGCTTTCCCTAAACCTAGCAAACATACCTGTGTGGGGTCACAGTGGGTAGATGTGGGTGAACTGTGAGACTGTGTTGGCTGGGTTTTAAAATCTATTATGGTTGGGTAGGCTAGCCCAAGTGTTCCCCATAGTGAAATTTTGCCCATTTGTGTCCCCCAGAAGGAATTCTGTGGGCACTTAACTGTGTGGACCATGTGTGGGCACACCCCGTTTAGTGAGTGATAAGCATTGGTTTTGTCCTGCTCACACAGCCCCTCAGTTCATGGGCACATTTGCTGGTATATTATTTATAATACAAAAGTAAAGGTGTTTCATATCTTCTCTAAAATAGATGAAATCATGAAATGATAGAACATGTTTAATTACAATGTCAGAAATATAAGACTGAGAGAAGATGACTGATTTAAAACCTCAGTAAAATTAAAGTTATACTTGCTCTAATTGATATACTGCAAAAGAGCTCAACAAGTAAAATATATTAGGCCAGTATCTGAGCATGCTGTAGATCTCTTGCAGGTCTACAGTGGGACACACTGTGGGCCATTCTCTTGTTAGTGTGGGCAGCTCACAGTCAGCCCACATTATGGGCTGTCCCACTGAGGCCCCGCACTGTTGGACCAAGATATGGTTTGCATTTCATGCTTGAACTGGACCCCTGATCAGCCTACTATGGGCCTTAGTAGGGTAGTGAAATGTAAGCCCCGTGGGTCTATTCCTAGTGGCTTTACACAGCCTCAAGGGGGCATGCTGTCATCATCTGGATTGCAGCATATGATCCTAAAAACTTGTATATATCATCTGGCATATTGCTCTCTTTCTCGCACTTTCTCTCATAAAATTGTATAAAAGCAGATCAGAGTCTGGTCAGAGGTTGAATAGACAGGTCATTATTTAGCACTTTTCTTCTTTATCTGAGCACTCAAAGTGCTTTACACAACCTGCCTCAGTCACCCATGCACACAAGCACTTTTTTCTATGCAAGTGCTTTCTATCTACCACCTACAGGGTGCAATGGCATTACTTCAGGACTGTTTTGGATGAAGTGATTAGAGCATGTTGTATAATATGTGATACATGTGCCCTACACACTATCTTATGGCACTTGGAGAAAAAGATGAGTTAAGCCAGGATTCTGCTTATCATTTTCTCTTTAGTTTTTAGTGCAATCATCCCACAGCTCTCTCTCTGACTGGATTGAACACCTTACTCTCAAATTGGATTTTGGACTTATTGTCATGATCCTGGGTTTTTTGGCCCAGCATTTTGAGTTTTCTTGCGTTTTGATATTATTTTGGATTCTAATTTATATTTAAGTCCACTTTGTTATTCTAAGGATTTATTCTACAGTACCTAGGTTATTCTGTTTAGCCTTTTATTAGATTCCCCCTTGTGTCTTTGCCCTCTGTGTGTCTGTGTTTATCTATGTTGTGAGTCTTTGTGTCTTGCTTCACTCATGTTTCATTCTGCTCCCCCTTGCCTGTCATATTATCCATGTTTCCCTAGTCATGTCTCTGTTTGTCTGTCTGCACCTCTCTGAGTGTGTTCCCATTATTTCCTGTTTTACTTTGGTAGTCTCCTACACCATGTTTTGCTTGCCTCTCTTACTTTGAAGCTACCTTGTCTCATGTGTAATGTTTAACTGTACATGCTCCATCTCATTGTGTGTAATTTGCCCCAGCTGTGTTCCCCACGAGTTTCCTGTTCCCTCATAATTCCCTGTATATTTAAGCCTTTTGTTTTCTTCTGTCCAGCGTGGTGATCTCTCTCATTCCTGGCTGTGTGAGTCTCTATGTGTTAGTTTATAGATGTACCAGTATAGTTTTGTGTTATTTCCCCTTTCAGCAAATAAATCTGTCCTATCTTGTTCAAGCTGCACCACAGTGGTGCACCTTGTCAGCTCGTTGGTATGTTGACTGGTTAACTGACAGCAAGGCTCTGCGACTTTTGAACTGAGGGTGGATGGTAAGGATGGATGTTAATGCCTTTCTGGAGACCATTTTCAAGGACACAGTAAGATGTATGCCCTCTGCACTGGGAGACACACCTCATACCCCCATCATTAAAAAAATCAGCACCACCCAGAATTTACAATAGCTTATTTCCACAGACAATAAGACTGTTAAACTCACTGTGATATGCAGAACAAAGCCACTTTTGGAAATAGGTATAGTGAAAATGCCAACATTTTATCACTATTTAATCAAAACACCCACAATGAATAGCAAAATAATTGTTTTACCAAAATTTTAAATCCCTCACACAAAATGCTATTTCTATTTTGTTTGAAGTAATTATTTTATCAGCAGTTTCTCAGTTCTTTTTTTTTTTTCTTGTTCAGTGAGAGAAATCTCACTCATTATGTTTTAGGTTTGAATAAGTGCATTAAAGTCAGGTTCAGTGTTTGAGGTGGAAATAAGAAGGACACTCACATCAACAGCAAGGTCCGCCTTCCCTTCTGCACCTGAGAGCTCAAGGATGTCCTTGCCTTCCTTTTCACAAAACTAGCACTGACTTACAATAACACCTCCTGTCACGATCCTGGGTCTCTGACCCAGCGTTTTCAGTTTACGTTTTGAGTTCTTAAGTTATTCCTTTATTATGTTGAGTAATTATCTTTTGGTTGCCTTTAGTTTATTTATGTTTCACTTAGGTCTTCTGTGTTAGTCTGTCATGTTTCTTGTCTTCTTGTCCATGTTGTGAAGTTGTATTGTCATGTCTGCTTTCCACTTTGTTTCCTGTTTTATTTTGATAGTCTCGGTCCTATGTCAGTGTGGTCCGCTTTGCTTCCTTTGTCTCAATTAGTGTCAGCTGTTTCCCCATGTGTTTCCACTTCCACTAATCACCCTTGTGTGTATTTAGTATGTGTATTTCTGTCAGGTTGTCTGTTGTTCACGTCATGTTCTCCACACCATGTTTCTAAGTTTCATGTCCAGGTTTTTAATGTTGTTTGTTTTGTTCACCCAGTTTAGGTTAATGTTAATTTTGCTTCAGTTTGCCTTGCCCTTTGTTTGTACCCTTTAACAGCCTCATTAAACATCTCACTTTTTGTTAATATTCAAGTTTTGTTTCACATTCTTTGTCTGCATTTTGGGTCCTCTTTGCAAATTCATACAGTGTGCTGCCGAATACTGTGACACCTCCTGGTATATAGCACATTGCAAAAACACCAATTTCAGTTCTGGTTTGGACAGCCAATCATAAAACCTGCCGGTTTGTTCCATTTCAGGCCAGGCCTATCTAAGCAGGCAGTCACTTCTATAAAAAAAAAATCACTATATTTGTGGTCACTTTCACTCTTTAATTGTTTCAGTGTACAAAGATGGAATATCGGGCCTATGTCATAGACATTGCAGCTTTAGTCCAGAGACAAGGAGAAAAGGTCTAGCAAAGATTCAAATGTCTGTTCCCACTCTGCATCAGACCAATTGTTGTACTTTTTTGTGTGTTTAACTTCATAATGTTCATTCAAACTGGAATCCTTAAACACAGCTATCTGCTCTCCATAAACTAAGCAGATGGCTTTACCTGACGTCAGTAAATAAGTACTAAGAAGCTCATGTTTACATTCTTCATAAATGTTTTATTTAATATGAGCTGATAACTTTGAAGGCCAGCTTCTTTCATAAAACTCTGTTCCAACGCATTTAAAGTGAAGCTGCATTCGCTTGTACAGGAAAAACAAACAGTCGCCTTCAAAATAACAATAAAGTTGTATTGTGTGGTGGCTGGAATATGACAAACAGATGCTGTACAATGTCCAGGTATGTTTCAAATCATTTCATTCTTACACCTTCACTGCTTACTCAAAAAGTAGGTCCATATTATCCAAACATCAGTGACACAGGGTTCAAAACTGGTCTAACGCATTCTAGGACAAGTGGCAGAAACATTATCTGTTCCCACTACAACCTCACAGAAGTGGACATCGGAGCAGCCAACCTTAAACAAAGAAATGTGATGCTTGTCAAGTATTGATGAAAAACAACCAGCTGGCCTGTAGTCGTTATCACTTACTGTATCCTCCAATAAAGACAGATTGGTATGGAATGTGCGAGTCACCAGGAAAGAGGGACCAAAGCTATATGTCAGCCGTGGGAATGAGATGGCCTTGCACACTATTCTCCCAATAACTGAAATGTATTTTAACTTAAAACTTGTTATATAACTATGGGAAACCTCTTCTGTTTGTTTATAAGGAAACCCATTAGCTTCCACAACAGTGGTTGCTAATCTTCCTGGGGCCAAAACCATCAAGTACAATCAAATAAAATATTACACAATAAAGTGGATACCAAATATCTGCATAATTTGGCTCTTATATCCACAGTAAATGTTTACAATTAAGAAAATATAAGCATATAAATATCAATGACACTGAAATAAAATACACAAATTTCCATTACAAATGACATTGCCCTCTTACAGTATTTATAATGAATTAAAAGCTGCCTAAATAGGCTTATAAGTGATTTTTAAAATTATGAATAGAAGCCAATTCTCTAAGTGCATAAGGCAACTTATTCCACTGAAAAGATGCTCTAAATATAACAGAGGTTTTCAAAAAGTTGCGTTTAACTCGAGGAGTTACTAAATTGCAGTTTGTTGAAAATCGTGTACTATGATTATGTATTTCATCTGGATATTGCAACTGAGCAGAAAAAAATATGGTGTGTTTAACAGTATTGCTTTTTAAAAAAAAAAAATACAAGTAAGCCATCGTATAATTCAGCTTGTACAGAAAGCCAAGAAAGTTTATCATGCATTTTATCGATATTTGTATAGTATGAACACTTTAACACTAATCTGGCCGCCTTGTTCTGGACTAACTGAAGTCTGTTCAGAGCTGACTCACTGTTACCACTTCATTGTATCCTAGATGAACATGTTCATTTGTTACTCAGACAAAGTTTACTTCTTTGATTCCACCTTCTTGCATGATTTGGGATATGCATGTTTGCAAATTTGTTGCTGTTCAATAATGTCATCAGTAAGTCCACAGTAAGAGTGTTGCTGTTGAGGGAAAGCAAACAATGTTCTTCATGATTGATGCACCTTCTTCAGCTTGAAATTGTCTTTTAAAGCACTGTTGGTATATAATCTGAAATCTGAGTTTTGCTTCTGTCAATGAAGAATAAAAAAAATTGGCACAGAGTTTAGTAAAGAAAAAAAAGGAGCGAGTATTTTCTATGTGTCTTGTGATTATTCATTTTTAAGACATGAGAATGGAGGCTAGAATCTTTTCCAGCTGTCATAGGATGAGAAGGCAGGGTACACCCTTGTCATGACTTTATTCCAAGGCTCTCACGGCAATACAGACAGCAATTCATGCTGATATTTATAGATCTGGCCAATAGGAAGAACATGCCCACACAAGAAACCAGCAGGTGGATATTTCCTCAGTTTTGCCCAAGTTCACCTGGTCTAAGTATAGAGAGGGAACCTGAACCCTTCTGTCATTGTGCTTATTCTGAGGAGAGGAAGAGTTTGGTCTGACTGCTGACTTCAGCCAGGTATTGGATGTAGAGGGCAGTATAAGTAAATACAATATTTTGGTAATAATGTGTGAGAAGCTTGAATGCTTTGCTTTTCCTGCAGTGAACACAGCTATAGACACACACTAGGAAAGTCACAGGACTGGATGCCATAAAAGTAATGTGTCAGCAGAGATGGGCAGTAACGTGTAATCCGATTACTTTTTTCAAGTAACACGTAAAGTAAGGGATTACTATTGCAAATTAGATTACTGTTACTTTCCCATAAGCACGCTGTGTTACTGCATTACTAAACCGTGATTTTGTTTGTAAGAGTGTCTCATGACAACGAGCGTGTGATGTCCGTGGCAGCAACAGACGTGTGTAGATCAACAATGGATAATATAGAGGACGGGAGAGAGTACGACCATGCAGCTTTTAAAGCTTGGAAGTACTCACATTACTTTGAGTTTGATTCCGTAAAAAGGGTAAAATTAAACTTCAAATCTGAGCAAGCACTGAGCACGCTGCCACGGGAATGTGAAATTCACAGAGAAACCCCCGAATCCCTCCACTGACATGACCACTGCGGTGGCAAACCTCCACCAGTCCCACTCCTGCTAAACAGGTGAAAGTAGATTTAAGAGTGGCATGACTTAGTGCTGCTGAATCTTTGATTTGAGTTTTTTCTTTTGCTGTGCATTACTTGGATCTATTTGAAAGAGTGAGTGTACACACATTATTTTATTTTATATGCTGAATATGCAGAAAACAGCTTTAACTGTTAAACAATTTTCTTCAAGTCAAAGACAGTTACATATAATAAAATGTTTGCTCGATGCAATGTGCATAAAGTTAAAAGATTAAAACTAATAAAACAATTTTTAAAAAGAGGCTTTTCCATTTGATTCAATTTTATATGATGGATTATGCAGAAAAATGGGCTGAAAGGTCTATTGCTTTATTACCTATTCAGATTGTGTATCATGTTTTTAAACTAATTAATAAAATAATAAAGTATATAATTACTGTTGAAAATAAGTAATCAGTAAAGTAATGGGATTACTTTCATGGAGAAGTAATTAGTAACTAATTACTATTTTCAAGTAACTTGACCAAACTGTGTGTCAGTAATGGTGAACAGTGTTCTGACTGCTGTCTGACAGACTTAGTAAAGACAGGCTAATGAGATTTTTCTTTCTTTTTTTTACAGGCCAAAATGAAAGATTTTTTTTTTGCTATAATTACACTTTGAAAACAGCAGAAGCAAACACTGGACATTACTTCTAAGCTAGATTTTGAGGTCTTACCTCCGATGTGATGCGTAATTGCCAGTAATGTGTCCACTGCCATCACAGCCTGGAGTAGGACACCTAGGGTCAAGAACACATTCACAGATCAGTGTAGTGCTTCTACAGACTTTTCAGAAAACAAAAGCTTTCTTGTGCACATATCCTGTGTCTTGCATTGTCTTTTGCTCCCATGTTTTCATTTCATTTCATTTAAATACTCTCCCTTTCTAAAAGAGAAACTCATAATTACATATGCAATAAAGCAAGCAACAAAAATCGACTGGTACTTAACTATAACACTTTTCTTTATATATATATATAT